TAACATAAATTGCCGATCTAAGAAAACTCAGCACAACCTTCGAATTTGTCGGCGGCTAATGGCGCGCAATCGCCTCGAGTCATCGATGGCGAAAATTCGCGCGAAGTCACGACGATGCAGCGTCCGGGCATCTCGCTTTATGCGAGCCTAATAGCAAAGGGGCGCAAAGGTGTCTCTGGGGCGTCGCTTAGGCTGCGCGCACCCCAATTCCGTGCTATCGGGGTCGCGCGAGCCTAGTCGCTGGAGGGCGCGACGCACAGGCTTCCATCCCCCTCGAGCTGGTTCCCGCCCGGTCACGCACCCCTTCGTTTGCCAGCTCCGCGCTCACCTGATCCCTGGATTTCGAAATATTCTTCGCGTTTGAGGCAATTACGTGCATTAGTCCAGGCGTCGCTGCGGCTTTAATCCAACTTGCCTGCTGCTACAGACCCTCTCCAGTTTGTCGCTTCTCCTCCTCCTCTCCCCCTCCCCTCCCCCATCACCCCTTCCCATAATTTACCCCCACCACCGCCCCGACACCAAATGCCAAGCGTCTACCCCTGCGCGCCTTTGAACTTCCCCGATGAAGCTCACTTATTGGCTCTTTGTCGATATTCGCTACTTTCCACTTTAGCTCGGGGCTGTGAATTCAATTTCAACGTACCCCAAGCCGCAAACCAAGTCGATAATGATTTCGATGTTTTATTAAGCGAGCTTTGTCGGGCGCAATATCGACAATAGTATTTCGCTGCGATCAAGTAAGTAGTCTCTTGATTTGCTCAATAGTTTTTGAATAAAGATGCCCTTGATTCAGCGATTGTTGTCGTTTAAAATATACGGAAACCTGTTACGGCATTATAATGATCGGCTACTTGGACCAGAACGATTATCTCGTTTAAAATTACGATACTCGGTTGTTCGTTAAATTAAGGTTATTTAATGTCCATATAGTTAATGTTTTAAACGAGTGAATATTATATTAAAGGTAACTCTGGCTCTGTTTCACGAATTTCATGGAGTAACCCGATTGATGGCTCGTCGTCGGGATCGTATTCAATGTCTTTGAATTTGATTATAGATGGCTGCCGTGGTATTCTCGGAGGTACACATGGCGGTGGTTGCATCAAAATAATCTCAATCTTCTCTTTCATCACTTTTAAATCAGAATGACATTTGATGATGTTGGCACTTTTTCCCGCATAATTTATTATTTTCACAATAGTTTTATCGCAAACAGTCATCTAATAAAGAATTTCGTAATGTTAAGGATATCCCCATAATTGATAATTTAATGATTTTGAATATTAATACAATTAAATTCTCCTTACATGTTTGTCGTCTGCATTTTCATTTGAATTTTCATTTTCTATGTTTTCATAATTTTCTGGCACTATTATTAGAACCCTAATATTTTAAACGTTCAACCATATAAAAATCAATACCATATTAATAAAACAAATGCAAAGATAATTTACCTATTAGGCGGAGAATCAGTCATGTCAAGATTCTTAAATTCGAGAGTAGTGGTAACAAATCCGGTTAACACCCATCCTTTTTTTACATTCATCGATCTGTTTAAAAAGTGCTGCGAATGAGACAAATTATCAAATGAAAATTGATGAAAATATAAATATTAAGGTAATATAAGTGCATTGAGAGTGAAAAAATTCATAAACGAAACTCTGAGCATTTCAAAGTCTATTTATCATTTCTATAATACACGCTATTTCAAAAATGGCATCTATTAATTTTGAAATAAAAAGAGAAAATATTGTTTTCAAATAATACATTAAATTATAAAACTGAAAAATTGGATATTTTTTTTTTTTTTTTATACGTATCAGTTAAACAAAATACGACAAGTTCATATTGCTCTCAAGTTCTTGTACGAATCCTATTTACCTCAAAGGCTTCAATTTTTATATTAACTGGCAAATTATTTAAATTCGCAGTTTCTTTCGCTTCTTGTAATTTATCGCCCAATTCAGAATCGCATAAACAAATTTTCTCCAAAACTTCGTGAAAATCGACTAAAAATTATAAATAACATATGTAATTTTTTTAAAGTGGTTATTTTACGAAAACGTAATTTTTTTTAATTCCATACTGTGAAATAAATTAAATACTTGAGCAATATGTTGGGCTAAGCATTTACATCTTAATGAATCAGTAGCATCTATTAATAATATACGTAGGCTGCTTGTGCCGTGAAAATAATTTCTAAATTTAATTGAATTCAAGCATTCCTCGGCGATATTTACTATTTGTTTATTTTTAGCATGTATCGTCTATCATAAAATAATAAAAATTAGAATAAAAAAAAAAAAAAAAAAAAAAATAGATGCACGGAGTGAAACTATATGTTATAAATTTTTACAACCATTATAAATTTTGAGAAAACTTGCCGCAATCCATGTATCTCTTTATTGTAATTAAAATTTGCTATATTCTCCAGTGATGTAGTTGATTTAGTGACTATATGGTGAAAAGTTGATTAAAATATGTATTAAATTTTACGATATCTGGCATTATTTCAAATTATTTCAAATTGACATACCCGATGAGATAATATCGATAACATGCGTTGGAATTATTCCACTACGTTGCAAACAGCGAGCATCTTCATTCGTTCTGGGAAAATCTGCATTGATGATACACTTTGGACATATGCAGTATAAAATAATACTTATTTTATACTATATTATTGATTTAATGATAAATTTTACAATACCTAATAATATCCATCCGTCACAATTATTTTTCATATAATTGTTTAAAATTATTCTTAATTTTTCAATAATAATCGATGATTTCACTTCGGGTATCTATTATAATAATATATTAGAAATAAATTGGTGCTCGTTAAAAAGTAAAAAAGCAATGTAGCCTTACAAATTCTTCATCACAAAGAATATCATTTAATGTGACTACAGGAACATTTAATTTGTTTCTCAGAATATTAGACAATTGTGATTTATCTATTAAATATATTTGCGTTTAGTTGATTAAGGAAGCAATAATTTATTGCATTGTTTCGTTGTAATTACCAAATTCCGGCAAAGATAAAATAATTATTCTTGGAGCATCGAGTCTTCTTGCTGCGTGATATAAGCTTTGTTTCAAAAAAAGCACATGATCTTCTGGCTTTTTAATCAGCAACATCGTGGACAACTCCTATATTATTATAGCGTTTATTTGAATTTTTTAAGAGATATATTGTTTTAAGATAAAAAAAAAATTATTAAATTGAAAAGTAATATATCTAATATAATAATCGTATAAAATAACAAGCCTAAGAAAATCAAACAATTATCTTAGTTAAAATCATAAATTAAATTTTACTTATTATTTAGTTTTCAGTTGAATGTATTGAATTTAATTTAATATTTAATTATATGAATTGAGCCATATTGTCGGCTACGACATTTGAAAAATATTGAAGTCAAAACATGTAATAAGAGAAAATTTAATTTTTGTTTATTTAAAATTTAATTCATACCGCGACATTTGAACGTAACTTTTTATTTCCTTATTTACGAGATTTACACGGAGTTTGAATAATACTACGTATTAAATAAATATTAATATATTCTAATTAGATTGCGTTTTGCTTATTTAACGCGACCCTTAATTTTTAATGTCGATACTCGTCAATATTTCCGATACGTATAATTAACACAAAAGTCTTGATAATTATATTTAAATTATTAATATTACCATTATAATTATCTAAAAATTATTCATAAATACTTTATATGATATGAAGATCAATCTAAACCTAATTATCAACCTAAACCTGATTTATTTGAATGAGTATAAAATTTTTCTTTTTAACGTAGAAAAAATATGAAATTAATACATTCATAAAAATTGAAGTATTTTGTTATTATTACATATTAAATGGCAACTAATTCTAGTCATCAGACAGCATATGCATTTAATGTAGCTTAAGTACATATTATTTTTTCAGTCCTAATTTTATATTAACTATTTAAATTTTTATAATATAATTTATAATTTATTAATTATTTATTATCGATAAATTTTTGTAAATGTGCTACTCATACTATTATGCATTCATTACATTTGTTTAATTTTTTAAAATATTTTTTACCAAATTTCCACAATTAAATTCTTCATTTATGATAATTAAATCAAATTTTGTCTAAAACTATACATTTTATGCATAAGTAACCTATGAATTCAACTATAACAATATAATTATTAGAATTTAAATACCGTGTTTGAATTATGATTTATAGTAATTTAATGATTTTGAAAAGGGGAACAAACTATTCGTAGCAAAAAAAAAACATAATAAAATTATCATTTCAATTTTAATAGAAATTTAAAGTGATATGAAATTATGAAATAAAAATATCTTACCTGAAATAATGCGAAAATTCGATGCTTTTCAAAATAAGATATAAATCGTTCTGAAATTTTAAGCGAATCCTGTGAATTGGAATTTCTACCTCTAGTTTTCATCATTTTAACGTATTTATTTCAAATACTTATTGAATCGATTCGATAATTGCTTGAAATTATGCATAAAAACAAAATGTAGATGAATCATCTATCTTGGAATATATTTTGAAAAAATAACATATATTATTTTAGTTTTCCTTTAATTAATTTTGTTATTCGATAGATAGTTTACCAATTTAAAATATTTATTGTATAAATATTTCTATTGATTGACTTATTTTAGTAAAACTTTTGCGTATAGTTCTGTTATAGATAATTTTAATTATTTTTCTATTTTCATAAATTTCATACGATAATAAACTGACTAAAATATGTATACTATAAATTGTAATAAATTGATTGGCAATTTGTTAATTTTTTTATTTTTTAATTTATAAGGAGTTATAATTTTTTATCGGAATTATTATATAATAAATTAGGGTCGATTGATTTAATGATTAATCTGATAATACAAGTGCAACTTTCTTTTCCATAAAATTACAGGAAACTTTTTAAGATACAAAAACAATTATTCACAAAAGAGATTCGATTCATAGTTGCGAAAAGAATCATGAATTTGATATTTCATAGTCGTTACTAGATGAAACGAAGCAGGATCAAGTTAACGTGACATCTTTACGATATTTTTGATCAAGGTTTTTTTTTTCAATTTTCAGTTTAAAATCTTGCATATGTTGACAAATATTAATATTACATTTAAATCTTAATGAATTAGTTAATTAATTAGTTGAGTTAATTGGAAATTTATAATTAAATGTTCGAAAGGGTAAAGATAAATAGTAAAAACATTAATTATAATACTAACGACAACGATAAAATAATTGTTGAAATTTATACTTTAATATTTAAATATCAATTAATTTAGTTATCCATACAACATTTTTATGATTGATAACCTATCATTCTTTGTGAAATGTGAAAGTATTTCGAGGTTAGGTAGCACCACGTTTTCTTTATAAATTTCTTGGATACTACGACAATTGAAAGTACCACTTACATCGATTATTAAGTTTTTGCAAATAAATCTGAACCTTTTCATACAGTGAGTAGACCAGTAAGATCTATTTTTTTTATGTTATTTTAACTACAGGTTTTCTTAATATGGCATCTAATTTAATCGCTTATTTAAGAATATTAATCGAGCAGATTTTTCTTTTTTGCAAATCAGGATTACCGGAAGCAGTCTAGCAGCTGTTCTTAATTTTTTCCATAATATCAAAATCATTTATTAACTAAACTGTTGTTGTTTTATCTAATAGTTATAGTCGTTTTAACGTGCTGCTACGACCAACAATAAAGTTCTTTAGTATCAAAATTAAAATCTCAAAACATGTCGGATCTGGAACAGAACATTGCCGATTTAGAAATCGAAGGAACAGGCAAGAAAAAGCTAACTCACAAAGAAAAAAAAAAATTAAAGAAAAGGCAAGATTATGAAAAAACCATTGAAATGTTGACGAAAACTGGTGGTCAGGGGCACAGTGAATTAGAGTCGAATTTTACTGTTTCTCAAAGAGCAACCCAAAATCGTGGTGGTCAACAGCTGGAAAATGCTGTAGATATTAAAATTGAAAATTTCAGTATCGCGGCAAAAGGCAAAGAATTGTTCACTAACGCTACTCTTCTCATTGCACAAAGCAGACGGTATGGTCTGGTAGGTCCTAACGGGTAAGTAACATTTATCTGATTTATAATTTTATAAACATTAATTATTTAAAAAAAAGTAAATTACGTATCATAGACTCTGTATATTTATAGACATGGGAAAACTACGTTATTGCGTCATATCGCAAAGAGGGCATTTAATATTCCTCCGAATATTGATATTCTTTACTGTGAACAAGAAGTTATAGCTGATGACACTTCAGCGGTACAAGTGGTATTGAAAGCCGATGTTAAATGTAATGATTTATTACAAGAATGCAAAGAATTGGAAGAGCAAGTAGAGCAAGGTAATTCCGAAGCTGAAAGCAGATTGTCGAAAGTAAGATTATATTTCTATTACAAGAGACTATTCAAATAATCAGTATACATTCTCTTACTTCTCAATAAAATTTTAGGTGTACGAAGAATTAGAAGCTATAGAAGCTTATTCGGCGGAACCTAAAGCACGTAGAATCCTTGCTGGTTTAGGATTCAGTAAACAGATGCAAGATCGAGCGACAAAACACTTTTCCGGTGGTTGGCGTATGAGAGTATCTTTAGCAAGAGCATTGTTTTTAGAACCTACATTATTATTGTTGGACGAACCAACAAATCATTTAGATTTAAATGCTGTTATTTGGCTAGATAATTATTTACAAAGTTGGAAAAAAACGTTATTGGTTGTGTCTCACGACCAAAGTTTTTTAGATAATGTTTGTACAGATATTGTACATTTAGATCAACAAAAATTATTTTATTATAAGGGTAATTATAGTATGTTCAAAAAAATGTATACTCAAAAAAGTAAAGAAATGATCAAAGCTTACGAGCAGCAAGAGAAACGCTTAAAGAATTTAAAATCTCAGGGTCAGAGTAAGAAACAAGCAGAGAAAAAACAAAAGGAAACCCTTACGAGAAAGCAGGAGAAAAATAAGACCAAAATTCAGAAGCAGGAAGAAGATGTTGGACCAACAGAACTATTACAAAAGCCAAGAGAATATGTTGTTAAATTCAGTTTTCCGGATCCACCACCGCTTCAACCTCCTATTCTAGGGCTTCACAGTAATTTTTATGCTTTTAATTAATTATAATTGATTGTATATTGAAATTAAATTTTGATCGACATCAATTAATTTGTTTAGATGTAACGTTTGCTTATAATGGCCAGAAGCCTTTACTAATCGATGCTGATTTTGGAATAGATTTGAATTCGCGTATTGCTATTGTAGGACCTAATGGCGTTGGCAAAACAACATTTTTAAAATTATTAGTTGGTGAATTAATACCGACAAAAGGAGAACTTATTAAGAATCATAGATTGGTAAGATAAAACGTATATTTATAATAAAATTGAAATATATGTTCTTTTTATGTATTATTCAGAGGATAGGAAGATTCGACCAACATTCTGGAGAGCATCTCACGGCTGAAGAAACTCCAACCGAATATTTAATGCGTTTATTCGATCTTCCGTATGAAAAAGCACGAAAGCAGTTAGGAACTTTTGGCTTAAGTTCTCATGCACATACCATTAAAATGAAAGATCTGTCTGGTGGACAAAAAGCACGAGTTGCTTTAGCTGAACTTTGTCTTAATGCACCCGATGTGCTTGTTTTGGACGAGCCCACAAATAATTTGGATATAGAATCTATCGATGCCTTGGGTGAAGCAATAACCAGATATAAGGGTGGTGTCGTTATTGTTTCTCACGATGAGCGACTTATTAGAAACACGGAGTGCTGCTTATATGTAATGGAAACTCAGTCGATTTATGAATTTGATGTTGATTTTGACAAGTATAGAAAGGAATTGCTTGAAAGTTTGGGAGAATGTATTAATAACCCAAGTATCACAGCAAATGCTGCTATTGTTCAGTGATTTGTAAATGGAATATTTATACTTATAGAAAAATGAAAAAGATGTTTTAACATATTGATTTATAGTAAGAAAAGAAACAGCAAACATTTTACTTTATAAACAGTTTTATCAAAAAATTCACTCTTTATATTTATGATTTCAGTTTAAATGTAATATACAATGCAATAATAAAAAATTGTACATAAAAGTGTAATTTTCATTTGTAAATATGCTACTGGCTTTTATAAAATAATTATTATGCGAAACTTTATATAATTATTAATACTGAATTGCTATTTCAGTTAGTCAAATAAAAACATGAATTAAAAAGCATAAAAAGAACAGAGAATTTTATATAGAAAATGAAATTATACACGATCGTTATTAATTTAATTAACTTTATTCATAAACAATTGAAGTAAATTTTAAACATATTTTTAGTATTTAATAGCAGTTTGACAAATTAATGCATTTAAAGTGAATTTCATTTCATCTACCTCATTAAATTCCTATCCCAAGACGGAATAAGTGCTTCATAATTTTTTAAATGAAAACTATATATTTTACAATCATTAATCTCTGAGAACGACATGTCGAAATTTTAATTAAAATAGTTATAATCATGCACACACTTTTGTGTGTGTGTGTGTGTGTGCAGTATAAAACGGTCGTTTAGATGCGCCAAAGTATTTTACGCGTGGAGAAAACGTGAGAACGATGGAAGGAGAAACAAAATTTAAAAAAATATAAGGAATAGAACAAGAAGCCTACGTTTCAACTTTTCAAGGTAATAATTTATTGGCTTAAGTATACAACACAAATTGAATCTGGCTAGTAGTAGATCTGTCCAGTGTCTACTGTCGTTAAATAGACCTCCTCTTTCCTTGTCTTCTCCTTTTTTGCTTTTCTCGCTCCGTCTCTCACTTTCTCTTTTTCCCACTCGCTCACTCTATCTTTCTTCGGTCATCACTGTCCTCTCTTGTATCTTCTGCCTCCTCTCTCAACCGCACGTTCCCTCTCACTCTCTCCCTTTCATTCTCTCCTATTTCTATCTCCTTTGTACTCTTCCTCTCTCGCTCCCTCTTTTTCTACTCGGCGCGCGCGCTGCCAAAAAGGGCAGATAAGTGATGCGAAAATTGTCAAGCTGCGCCAACCGCGAGCTGCTGTCGCTGTCGTTGTCGTTCCGTCTGTGTTTCTGCGCCGTCAAAGTGCCGTCGTCGCCGTCCTCGTCGCGATGTCGAGCACGCTGGAAAACCAGATTTTAAATCTTCAGGAACGACTCAGGGCGGAGAATCAGCTGAGGGACAAGGACAAACAACAGGGCAGTGAGATGCAACAACAGCAGCAGCACCAGCAGCACCAGCAGCACCAGCACCAGCACCAGCACCAGCACCAGCACCAGCAGCACCAGAACCAGCACCAGCATCAGCATCTACAACCCTCGCCTATGGCTAAACCCGCTGCCAGCCCCTGTTTGAGTCCTGCTCTTGCAAGGCCCAAACAACGTAAGTTTTCTATTCAACCCTCGCAGATTAGATTGTTCACGTATTCGATCTTACAAGAGACGAATTTTTGTAAATTCTGTACAGGTTATGTTGTTTGCATTATATATTTTAATCCTCTCCGCCCCCTTTTATATGCACACGTAGGTACTCCCGATTAACCACCGATTACATAAAGTATCGATATTTGAATTATTCGTAAATCTTAAATACTTTGTATGAAGTATGCCAGAATGTCAAATGTCATTTAAACCTTTGACTTTGCTGAAAATGTAATTACAAATTTCGATAAAGTAATTGATCAGAACCTCTTACTTCAAGTCATTACAATACCAAACTCTGTTTTTTATGAAATAATTTGATCCTTGGTTTTCACATTTGCCAAACAGTTGGTGACATGGGAACTCCGACAAGACCTAGAAGGCAGCTGGATCTGCCGGTTTCGCATATGATACCATTTAAAAGACACGATGGCGAAGTTGAATCCAAATTACAAGAGATTATGAAAATGAATGGTATTCTCACTATCAATGGTCAGAAATATCATACAGACATGAAAGATCTGGAGCATTTGGGAGAACTTGGTAATGGCACTTGTGGGCACGTTGTCAAAATGAGGCATAAGCCTAGTGGAGTTGTCATAGCTGTAAAACAAATGCGTCGATCAGGAAATGCGGATGAAAATAAAAGAATAATTATGGATTTGGACGTAGTTCTGAAATCTCATGATTGTCCATATATTGTGCAATGCCTTGGCTGTTTTATTACTGAATCCGATGTATGGATTTGTATGGAATTAATGGTTACATGTTTAGATAAGCTTTTGAAGAGGAGTAGACAAGCCATACCCGAAGATTTTTTGGGCAAAGTAACAGTAGCAGTAAGTATTAATTATATTAGAATGGTTAAATCTGCCTATTGCCATTTGTAATGCGTTTGAAGTCGATTATTTATATTTGTAATAATAAAACAATTATATTTATAAGATAAGTCTTAATTCTTTCCATTATTAAAGCAGTAAGCAAGGTTTTACTATAGTTAAGCATAATTATTAACTATTAATTATTAATTGATATTACTTAAAATATGCATTTATTATAATAGACGGTGAAAGCTTTGTCGTATTTGAAAGAAAAACACGGAGTTATTCACAGAGATGTTAAACCCAGCAATATTCTTTTAGACGAAACAGGTGGAGTTAAACTATGCGATTTTGGAATATCTGGTCGTTTAGTTGATAGTAAAGCTAAGACGCGAAGTGCTGGTTGCGCTGCATATATGGCTGTAAACATTCTGATAATTATTATGATTTCAAGTGAGATAATTTAAACATTATTTAAAGATCGAATTTTATTTTAGCCTGAAAGAATAGATCCACCGGATCCTACAAAACCTGATTATGATATTAGAGCAGATGTTTGGAGTCTAGGTATTACGTTAGTAGAATTAGCCACTGGAGTATTTCCGTACCGAGACTGCAAGACTGATTTTGAGGTGAATATAATGCATAGTTTCAGTTAAGTTTATACAATACTACGAGTTATGGTTTGTAATCTACATAGATCAAGTAAATGTATTTCACCAATTGCTTATCATGATTTAACTATAATATTTCTCATCAGTGACTTTGTTTTCTTAAATACCTTTCTTTAATTTTATTGCTTTATTATCTCAGGTACTGAGCAGGGTGGTACAAGACGATCCTCCTTCTCTACCCTCTGATGCACTATTCTCAGCGGAATTTCAAAGTTTTGTTAGTTGCTGCCTTACGAAAAATTATAAGCAACGGCCAAAGTATAATAAATTAATGGAACATCCCTTTATTCGAAAATATGAAGCTCAACAAGATACAAACTCATCGATCCCCACCTCTGGTTGTCAGTGGTTTTACAGAGTTATGCAACAACTTGAACCAAGGTGAGTAGTATAGAAAATTAAAAGTATTTATCTCTTAAAAAATTGTTATGTAGAATTGTTATACATACATATATATATATATATATATATATATATGTATATATATACACCCACACACACACACACACACACACACACACGTGCGTACGTACGTATGTATATATATATGCATGCATGTTCGTACATGCATACTTACGCATGTAGATACGTATGTATTTATGTATGAATTTATTTATGTATGCATGCATGTATGTATGTATGTATGCATGCACTTGCGTGCACATGCATATACGTATGCATGCATGCATGCATGCACGTATGATGTACTTACGTACGTATTTATGTATGTGTTTATGTGGTTGTATGCGTATGTGTATGTGTGTGTGTATCGACGCGCGCGCGCGTGTGTGTGTGTGTGTGTGTGTATGCATAGGTAAATTATCGGTTGTATTTTTTTTTCTAGAAATATAAGTTTTCACAGAGTACTGTGTTATAATATTTTATTTATTTTAATTGATTGTAAGCATTGAAAATAGTTAAGAATTATCAAATACACGGCATGATTGATTCCCGACTAATGTAGTAATGTTTGGTTTGGTCTGTCTGTAACGGGTAACGCGTAACGTTATGCTAGTTATAATCGAAATTTTTTGCAGCATTAATTTTTTATCTTTAATCTTTGTTATTGTTATAATTACTGTACCTGTTCTTTCATTTATTTATTTACTATTTAATTTCTCTCATTGAAATGTCATTATGATAAAAAGTAATGAACTACATATTACAGAATACAATTATTACAAATTCCAATGCTAGTGTGGACTCATTAGTACAAATCCAATATTAAACGTTTGCGTGCGTATTAAATTGTGTTACAGCGTTGAGCTTGAGGGAGGCAGCGCGGCGTAGCATCCCTACTCCTTACACCCTTGTTCTTCTCATTTACAATCACCAACACCATTGTCCCTCTGCAAAAAAAGTCTCTGAAAATCCCGAAAAAATATTAATGAAAGCAACCATCGAAAAAAAGAGAAACATAGCAAAACACAAAAAGAGAAAGTACACCTCAAAAACGTCCAAAAAAAAAACTGTCCACTTTTCATTTCGAGTTGTTTGGTTTGTGCACGCGCCTGTTACACATCCCACCCTCAACCCCCATTCATGGTAAGCATTCTTTTTATTTATTTCAATATTCGTTTTTTACGTCTATCAGCATATTTGCAACGCATTCAAAATTCATAAAAACAAAATATTTGCGTCCTCTTTGTAAAATGTTGATTTTCACTGCTATGTAATGCGTTTATGTAATCTATATATATATATATATATATGTGTGTGTGTGTGTGTGCGTGTGTGCGTGCGTATGTGTGTGTATGCGTGCGCGCGCGCGCGCGCGTATGTATATAAATATATGTATATTTATTTATACATACACATATACATATTCATTTTTCAATTTTCAATTTTCAATTTTCAAAATATTCCATTATTTACTAATGTAACCTTTTATATACATGTGTGTGTGTGTGTGTGTGTGTGTG